CGGTGGCTTTCTCTTCTTCGCGCCTGCTCCCCGGCCTTCCCTCTCAGCCTGTCTGGCATCCATCCGTCACTGCCTGTCCTCAGCTCGAGCCCTCTCGTCCAATATCCCCTGATATTTCTCCACCCAGCGAGGCTTCGTCAACCTATCCACCAGCCTCATATCCCTCACCTGGATGGTCACCCTCTTCGAGTGGATCGCCACTTCGTTTGTGTTCTCGAAGTTAGCGACCAGGTAAGCCTCCGCAGCCTCCATCAAAGCACGCACAACCGTCATCTCGAACCTCAGGCCCTTATTAGGGGTAATGTCCTTCTCCACCACCTCGCGGACGACGCGCAAGAAAGGCCTGAAAGGGATACAAAGGTCGGTGGATCGTTGCAGCTTCCTGATCTCTGTCAAAGTTGCCATCCCGGGGTGTCTGCGGCGTCTGTGGACCCGTGCAGGTGCATCTGCATTGTTACCGGTCTGTGGCACAGGCTGGGGGTTCTTCTTTTGCTTGTCACCAGCCGTCTTCCCCCTCCGCGGCCTCGACACAACCGCTTTCACCTTCCTCGGGCTGTGGGACATCGCTGTCTTGCTGGGCCCGACCACGTCACCCTGCGCTGTAGAGCACCCTACAACTCGCTCACCGCCACCTGGGCCCTCCACCTCAGCAGACAAACCGTCATGATGTCTCGGGCGCGTCTCCTCCGTCTGTCCCGGCCTCCGATGTCCACCTCGGGTGTCCTCGGCCACCATATACCGAATGTCTCGCAGGAGGCCATCCGAGTACGTCAGCAGAAACGGCACACCAAGCGGGTCCCTGAACCTCATCATCATCTCTCCACCTTGCTCGTATGTCATGCGACATACGGCCGGGACCCAACCAACAAGGGCGGAGCAACCATGCCTGCGGCGGATGTGAGCCATGTACCTGTTCTCGCCATCGCCCTGCCCTTGCCCACCAGGACTCCCCTCAACCATGGATCACATCCCCTGGTCTGGCATGGAGTCGTAACCCATGCATACCATCTGACGGTCCTCCTCCCTTATCTTCTCCCAGCACCGCTTTGCATGCTCCACAACCAGCACGTGGTCCTTCACATCTGCATTGAAAATGGAGACACGTGCCACTACCACCAGGAATTGCCACTGCTCCACCATGCCTGCATGCATCCACCCCAAGGGCAGCCAATGGCCTGTCTGCAGTTTCGCTGCCATGGTCACCTTGCGATCAACTGTTGCCGGCTGCAGACATCCTGGGACCCAATTCACACGATATCCATACTTCTGAGGGGCCACATGCTGCTGCAACTGCCCCTCAGGGATGACATGGGCCGCAATGTCTATGGCAGCCAGAACGTCAGGGTTCAGGTTGAATGAGTCCCATACCAGCGTGGTTATTCCATCAGCAGTAGCGTCCTCTCCTCTGGCATGCGTGTATGTGTACCCATGGTCACCCGCGAACACTTTCCCCTCTGCCACCTCGAGCTCCACAGGGTTCCGAAGAGGCGGCGAAAAACAACGAGCAGCAGGGGTGGGACAAGCCATCGCCATCTTCTCCTCTTCAGTCACCTCCCTGCTCAGGTGCCTAGATGAGAAGCTGCCGTTTATATAACATGTGGTCCATACATTCCCCATGGCATCACACATCGGCACCTTCACACGGCCACAAAGAAGCGGGGCGTCATGTGGCACCCAACCCCACCGTGGATCCCTCATAACATCAGTCTGTGGGCAAACCGAACTCGCTGCAGTGTCCAACCCGCCAATCACCCATGACTCTCCGCAGTCGACACTGTCGTACTCAAAATCATTGAGCCTCAACTCGCCCTTCGCGTCCAGAACATGCCACAGTTTCAACACATGCCGCGATTTGTCGTCAGCGCTCACCTCATCGTTCAACCTCAACACTCTGTCGAAGATTATAATTCGATTGAATCGCAAGCTCCATCTATTGCATGACACATCACATACATTTATGAGAAGCCCTAGCAGC